AATTTTTATAAATATAAAAAGATATTAAAATAAATATTATATCAATCTATAACAAATTAAATATAATTATGTCAAAATTAAACTCTACTAAAATCATTAACATGGCATCAATTAATAATAGAAAAATGATTTTAGAGAATGTTTTAAAACGCTAAAATTAATGAACAATATCAATTTATATTATTACTGTATTGTCAGTGATTTTATCGATTATTAACTTTTAAAATTTAGTTTTTCAAAAACCCTTGTAAATTCTCTCCATATCTTTTAAACATTTCATTTTGAAGCGAATGTAAGCTTCGCATTTTTATATTTATTTTATATCTTATTTATAATTATTAAGAAAAATATGAAGTAAGAATAAAATATCATAATCTCAATATTATATCTTACTTTTAAATCATTAATATTTGTATATTTGACAAAGATTATTTAATATTATTAAAAAAAAGTATTTTTAAAATAATTTTAAATTAATGAAATAATAATTAAATATTAAATAAAACATATTATTAGATAAGTTAATTACCTTGTATTTTAATTTTTAAATTTTTAATTCTTTCAAGAATGTATTCTAATTTTTTTTTATTGTAAAATTTTGAATTTCAAAACGATGTTAAGTATTAATGAAAGTTTAATTAAATATATGCTAATCAGAAGGAAATAATCCACTTTTGGCCAGATATTTATTAAAACTGGCAAGAGTTCAAAACAATTCAAGTGAAATTATATATATATATTTTCTTTTTCGTCAGCTTGCAGGATGAGAGAAGTTGTAGCAAAGTTAGTTCAAACGCAGTAGATAACTTCATCAAGCATTTCTCTCCAGTTATTACAGCTGTTATTCAAGCGGAATAAGGCGAAGGATAAAAAATGAAAAAATAAAAAGGACGAACAAAATTACAGTAATTACGGATAAGAATATTTATATATTCTGCATTTTAAACTCTGCGGGAAACCTTTAACTTTACGCTTTATCTGCTTTTTTTTACATTTCTAGTATATAAACGAGTAATTTTCTGGACTGGTTAAATAGAATATTTTTGTTAAAATTGATAGACCGTGCAAAGATTAATCCCCAAGATAAAAACTGAAATAATTGAACGTTACTCAATTTTTCAAAGAGAAACATAACATTTAACAAGATAAGTACAAAATAAGAGATTGTTTTTAGATGCAGAAACATTTCAGGATTTCTTGTAAACCGAAAAATCGATAGAACGGATAATTCAAGGTAATAAAGCATTCTGGAGCCTTCGGAGAATACATGACTGGAAACGACTTACCAATAAACGTAAAAGAAAAGTTTTCTGATCATGTATACGACCTCAAGGCTATTCACCCTTCAGAGCAGGCAGAAACGTGGTCATTGACAAAAATGAGATTAGAAACATGCTACAGATATTATAAAATGTGTAATATATAAATATTAAAATAACAAATTAAAGAAAAAAAAGAAAAATGTTAAACGATAAGGTAAATATTTGCGTTTTAAATACGATATTATTGAAAATTAACGATTAGATAAGAAAACACGTGAACTGAATGTTGGATTAAGGATCGGACCAAACTTATTACTGAATGGAGCGCGAGAGGCGGAAATAGAAGAGATTGTCCATCAAGAAGATGGAGAGATAAAAGCTTTTGGTGGCTCAACACTTGGTAGCAGACATCAAAGAATCTGACCGAATAGAGAAATCTGTAGGTGACTAATGCTCAGTAGTGACTAATTAGTTGGAGATTGACGATATGTTATTCATATTCCTAGTGTATAAATTAGGGTTTTGATCATAGTAAGATATAGCAGAATGTTTTTGAATTACTTTAAAAAGTCTGTTTGATTAATTTTTAGATTTTTTTTCCTTTCAATTTAGCTGAATTAAATTTTCTTCTATCTTTTAGATTGATTCAAAAATAGAAAGCTCTTTATGTTTTAATCACTATAGGCTATGTAGCCTATCATTTCCGTTCGAAATTGTCAGTACTGAAATAGACAGCTGCCTTTCAGAAAAAACTGCAAAACAGGTGGCATTAATTCAATTGTTGTACTCCTTCAGTTAACTTTTCTTCATCTATAATAATATTCTGAATATAGTTAAAATGTATTTTGCTTCCGAATTTATCTTATACAGCAATATAAAATATAGCCTATATGTAATCTATTTCTAGGTTTGAGATAAATTCTCGAGCAAAATATTTTAAGTTATTTACTCACAAATTAGATACAAAATTGAGTTTACCAAGTTTCTGTTGGAATTTTGTCACGAGTATTTTCTCTCGATTTAGTCGCAATTAAATTTTCTGGCATCTTCGAGATATTCGATCTTGGAAGTTATTTTTTATGACTTTTTAATCCGTGTATATTTATCATTCCCGAATATAACTATCTTTACCACAATTTAATAGTATTATTTTTGCTTTTTAATAGTCTTGTTTTACGTAAAATTAAAGCCCTTTGCTTTAAAATGCATATGATAATATTATATATACACTTCAAATTTCATTCAATTTAATTCGATCACTAGCATCGAATGATATTGTAAATTTGAGAATTCATATCCTGAAGTTACATTTATGCAATCCAAGATTAAATTACAAAATTGTGAGAACAATTGTTTAGGTAATGATACATAGAAACCAGATTTATTATCTTTGGACATAATGAAGATTCATAACTCATTTAATGTTCTGTTTCCATATAGACTATACGAAAAATTGTTAGAAAGTAACCATTAATATTAAATTCCTTCCTTTCTTTATCCCCGCGAAATCGGAATATGTAATTATAGTTATTAGTGCAGAAAAGTCAGATTATAGATAATTATTAAACGATGTCATTTATGTTTTTTCCTATGATGGATAACTGAAGTATACATAGACGCTAGAATGAAAAGTCAAATAAGAATGATTCCTTTCAGGAATTGTTCATCTCTTAACTAGTTGTTAAACTCATCGACTTTTTATAGCATTTCGGAAAGAAGTAAAATATCGTGAAATTACCTAACTCAAAAGAATAATATTAGAACTTTTATTAAGTTTTATCTCGTTTCGAGTTGTAAAATGCGTTCCTTTGGCAGACATTCTAAACTAAACGCTACAAAAAATTGAAAAAAGAAGCAAAATAAGGGAAAGAAAAACAATAATTTACTAACATGAGAAACATTAAAAGAGTGAAAAATATTCTTGGGTCATACAGTAATTTGTCATATGTCAGGGTACACGAAAAATTCCGCAAAAATTCCCTCCCTCTTTCCGTTCTCAAACGTTATATTACTCGAACACGATTTTTCAACAAAAAAATTTCGTTACTGTTTTTTTTTTTTGTCTCTTATTCAGGTAAGATAAACGATTGGATAGTTGGCTACAATCCAATACTTTCAATTTAATACATATTTTAAATTATTCTCTAATCCTTTTTTCTTCTATCTTGGATATAAAGGGGGGAAATAACAAAACTTATAAAAGAATTGCAATTTTTTAAAAAGTTGCGGTCATAAAAAGTGTTTTTATATAGAGTAATTACTTAAGTTATAACATCATTATTTTACTTGGATAAATTTTTTACGGCTCTAGTCAGAAAAGGAAACAGTGTGCGTATCGATCAGTAAATTCTTCCCCTGTCAAGTATATTAGAGCATTTTAATGGAAACATCATACCTTTTCATCTCATTAAACGTTTAATCAATCGACAACCGTTAAATATTAGTTAACGCTTTGGCTTTCTACCTATTTTGTGGCCCCTCGCATCAATTTTCTTCCCTCTCCATATCATGTATCACTTTATAAATAAAATAATTAACTACTTTAATAGATACCACTCCCGAAAACTTTCGTGATAGATCGCTAAGCGGATGAACTATTACTAGAAAAATCTCTCTTTATATACAGTGTATATCTAGTGAAGTGTACTTGTAGTTAATGTTAACGAAAGGCATGTAACGATATAAACATTAAAGAATCCATAAAAAGAAGTTTTATCCATCATTCTCTTATATACCGCAATATTAACTTTATAAACTAATGATAATAAGTCCATTATGGCTTATAATAAACTCAGGTTACGGGCTCGAGTGATACATAAAAATTTTTACCGCATAACAGATAGTAGATAAGATAATTTTTGTGCCTTGTAAAATAACTTTAGATACGCAAAAAAAATACTGTATATGTATTTTCTATTCTAAAACAAAAGTTGAACGAGCTTTCCAGTGCTTATTTTTTTATTTAAATTGATGTTATCGCTTTTGTTTAATGTCTTGATAGAATCTAATTGGTAAATCTCCTTATCTAAAGATGATTTAATTCAATATTGAATGAGTAGATACTGTAATACAATCGTGTTAAATCTATACTACCGAACGTTGGTCAATACTGATTAAATGTACTAAAGGATCTTTCGACAATACCAAAACGTAACCGATGTTCGAGTCTGGAAAGTCACAATTATGTGACTAAATTTTATGAATTATCAACATATTGATAGTTTAGAGTACTTAATTTTAATATTTGATGTTAGTTTTGTCCTTAAATAGTCTGGATATAACTCTTTTTGGATAAAAAAAATTAATTAAAATTTTATAGAGTTAAGTATAAAAAACGTAACTATTAAAATTTTCATATATTAGCCTTTTTTACAATATTAGAAATATTAAAAAGTTGGAACTATAAAAATTATGATTAAAATGTAGGAAAGTGTAAGATTTGGTTGATATTTTAGGAAACCGAAGTAATCTCGTAAAATATCATCAAAATATTATCTTAATTACAACTAATTAAGAAAATGTTTGCCTATATTAAGCTAATAATCATAAGATAAAAGCACATTATTTATTGCAGTTATTTGCTTTTATTGATGCGCCTTATTCATAAACTATTAAATTTTGTTTAAGAATAACGATTTTAAAATTGAAATTTGACCCATAGGCTATATACCTTTTATAACGTTAAAACTTCCCTCCCCTATTTTCTGAATTTTTCTTCTATTTTGTCGTGGGTTTTTTCTATCTTTTCTTTATCCCCTGTTCCATTCTCTATCCTTCCTTTGATTTTCCGTGTTCAGTATCCATTTATTATTTTCTCTCCCATTCTCTTTATCCCACATTACTTTTCCAACTTCGAGTTTTTCTCTATTTTTCACCTAAATGATTCAAGTTAATCCTATAATAAAAAAAAAAAAATATGGCGGAAACGTACAGACATACAAACACACATACGCACACACATATATAACACGAAACCTATAAACACTACAGTAACTTCCAACTTTAATAAACTGTCCGTTGGATCAATTTATCAGTCAAGTACTTCATATAAGTAATGGTTTCTAAAATCTAGAAAAATAAACTAAAAAATAAAAGAAATTAGGATGATTGGTGAGCATACTAATAACTCAGAAGTTAATTAGTCACGTAAATTAAACAAGTCAGAAAAATGTTCAATATTTAGGACAAAACCTAAAAGACATCAATAATACGTAAGGGTTAATTAATTCGTTAAAATTTATCTTGTTTTTAAAAGTCTGTTATGCTTCTACTGTCTCGAAAGCCGATATTTCATCATCTTCATAACTTCGAGGCATATTTATGAGGAAAATCTTATGTAAATCGAGCTCAAAATAGCAAAAGAAAGAGCTAGTGTACGGTATCTACTGCTAAAAATATTTCTGAGAAAAAGGCAAATAAATTTATATGAAAAATTCTTTTCTGGGAACATGTTATATTGTGAATTATCAGATAATAATCCTTCAGGAGAATATGAGTTAAATAAAATTTAAAAAATAATTATCGCCATGAAAACTATTAAGAAATAGATATAAATAAAAGTAAAAGTAACTTTTATTTTTAAAAAAAAGCTTGTTAGGCATATAGTAAATCAAAGTAGCAAAATATAGAAAAAAAAGTAAACTCAGTTTTCATACAAAGTAATAAAGTATATGCCTTTAAGTAAAATAAATATAATACAAACTATTCGAGAATAAAAATAGAAAAAAGTAGTTACGTACAAAAAGTTAGAACAATATGTTAAATAAAAATAAAATAACTATTGTATAAATTATTGAAAATGTAGGCTAAAGAAAAGAATAAAAGTAATTATTATATTAGTTATTTAGGGAAACGTGATGAGTAGGGGAAAAAAGCAGCTTATTACACAAATTATTGAATGATACGCGTTCTAAAAAAGAAAAAAAAAGCATAGGGAAAAAAACGAAAACAGAAACGTGTTAGAGCCTTTTTTATGTATTAAATAACTTAGTTAATTTATTAAATTAGTTCTAATCCATCTTTTTTTATTATAATTTTTTGTACTTCTGATATTAAATTCATATCAAATGCGAAGATTTGTTTTTTATATCAATGCAATGAAGGGAAATAGGAAATGGAAAATCATTCAGTAACCAAAGAAGAATGTAAAACTAGTTTACTTTTTCTATTTAATATTTGAGCCAGAAAATGATGTATATATATTTTTTTTCTTTTTTCCCCCTCTTTTTTGGATATAAAGTAACCAAAATATATAAAACAAAAAATAAATAGATATGTATGAATCAAATCCTTACGCAGCAACTTTATGATATAAAAAACTATATTTGATTCCTAGTGTAACCTAACAAAATTTATTTCTATTTATAACACGAATCTATCCTTGAAACATTAGACTCACGAGGTGCTGTCGGAAGAAGGGAGGAGGAAAATAGAAAACAGCATCAATCTAAAATTGAATGAGCATAATTTAGAAAAACAAAATCGATGACGCTGTTTTCTGGGTAAAGTTACATATATAAAATTTTCAAAAATCAAAATTTGAAAATCTATAAAAAAAAATAAAATAAAGAGATTTTTTTATATGTAGTTTTATTTACCGAAAAGAAAATTAATTAAAACGTTTTCAGGCTTCATTGAACAAATTATCTACTAAGCACGTATTAAATAACCACAGAGTAATTGCTGACTTATCGTTAAAATTGGTCAATTTTATTTATTTAATTTTTTTTTAAGTTTCATTGATTAATTTTAAAAGAAGAGTTGCAGCAAATTTCATTAAAATTATTGAAGTGTAGTTATTTAACGTATGTCCTCTGATAATTTATATAGCAGCTTTAAAATTTTAATTTTAAAGACTTTCGACTAAACTGAGTAAGCTATCTATGTAACGTCAATCTAAATTTGAATGAGCGTAATTTATAAAAGCTACATCGATTACGCTGTTTACTATATATAAATTTCGTAAAATTAAAATTTGATACTTTGGTAATATTATTAATTAATAAAGAGAGATTTAAAATTTCTATAAATATATCTTTACACGCTTTTAACAATTTTAAATGTTAAGTCATCGTCGAATTAATTAACTAGTACGCATTTTCTGGTTGCTTATCATAATTTTAAGCTTGTTATCAATGTATCATTAATTTTAAATTAATGGAGCAAAACTTAGGGGGAAAAAATAGTAATTGTTTTTGGATAAAGTGATATGTAAATTTCTCAAGATTAAAATTTACTATAGAGAAAATATAAAGCCCGATATAGAATTGTAAGCCTATCTTTGACGAATTTTAATGATAAATGTAGCTATAACGCACCTTTAAAATGTTTTTCTCTTAGACACAATAGCTGTATTATGTTAATTTTAAAATTGTTTGATTATATCAAACGCATTATATACGCATTATCAATTTAAAATACTCGTAGGATGGGCGATGGGCATTGTTTATAAATAAAATCGATTTTATTTACTCGATAAGATTATGTATCAATTTTGTAAAATCAAAATTTGATACATTAAAATATTGTAAAAAAATAATTGCTGTTTCTCCTAGGTAAAAGTAATTAAGTCTACTTTGGCAGATTTTAATGGAGAAGTTACGCTAGATTAAAGTTGTTTGGCACGTGTTCTCTAAGCGATAGCTGTAATATTTTAATTTTGAAGATTTTCGGCTATGTCGAGCACGTCATCTATTCTTGTCGTAGAAGTAAAACAATACAGAAATGTGATAGATATATAGTTTTTGAATAATCAATTGTTGGAGATATTCTTTGTTAATTCTGCTGGTCTGGACTTCATTGAAAGAAAAATAACCAAATCATTAAAATAAAACTATGGTTTATTAATTGTAAATATATTCGTTAAATTGATAAAATGTTATGCGTTTTAATGCCGCAAAAATATAGAACAATCGAAAAATCGATAAATTATTTAAATTTATCCGCTACAATTTTTCGAAAAATATGTAAGAACGTAACAACTGCTAAATCTTTAAAATATTTATTAGTTTAGTTTTATTCTGTTAGATAAGAATTATCCTACTAATAAACAAAACTACAGTAATCGTTTTCATATTAGCATGCACCTCACTAACATTCACATTAACTATGTACAATCGTGAGATAAGCACTAACTCGTATTTTAATGACAGAACACCACTAAGAATCATGCTCTTTACTATATTTTATGTGATATTGATTACTAAAAGAGCATAATTAAGATGTCAAAGCACTGGGGAATATAAAACTGTCTAAACAAATATGTTACTTCTATTTTCCTTGTTTGAAAACATTACATGATGCTACTAATAAACAGTCGTACCTGTTGTTCATATCAATAATTCACAAACAAAAACAGAACACGTCTTTTATCTGCGAGAGAAAACTGAATAATTGCATTATTAGTTATAATTGTTAAATTAGGCCTAAAATTCAATAAGATTAAAATTTTCTAAATAAATTATANTCTTTTTCGTCAGCTTGCAGGATGAGAGAAGTTGTAGCAAAGTTAGTTCAAACGCAGTAGATAACTTCATCAAGCATTTCTCTCCAGTTATTACAGCTGTTATTCAAGCGGAATAAGGCGAAGGATAAAAAATGAAAAAATAAAAAGGACGAACAAAATTACAGTAATTACGGATAAGAATATTTATATATTCTGCATTTTAAACTCTGCGGGAAACCTTTAACTTTACGCTTTATCTGCTTTTTTTTACATTTCTAGTATATAAACGAGTAATTTTCTGGACTGGTTAAATAGAATATTTTTGTTAAAATTGATAGACCGTGCAAAGATTAATCCCCAAGATAAAAACTGAAATAATTGAACGTTACTCAATTTTTCAAAGAGAAACATAACATTTAACAAGATAAGTACAAAATAAGAGATTGTTTTTAGATGCAGAAACATTTCAGGATTTCTTGTAAACCGAAAAATCGATAGAACGGATAATTCAAGGTAATAAAGCATTCTGGAGCCTTCGGAGAATACATGACTGGAAACGACTTACCAATAAACGTAAAAGAAAAGTTTTCTGATCATGTATACGACCTCAAGGCTATTCACCCTTCAGAGCAGGCAGAAACGTGGTCATTGACAAAAATGAGATTAGAAACATGCTACAGATATTATAAAATGTGTAATATATAAATATTAAAATAACAAATTAAAGAAAAAAAAGAAAAATGTTAAACGATAAGGTAAATATTTGCGTTTTAAATACGATATTATTGAAAATTAACGATTAGATAAGAAAACACGTGAACTGAATGTTGGATTAAGGATCGGACCAAACTTATTACTGAATGGAGCGCGAGAGGCGGAAATAGAAGAGATTGTCCATCAAGAAGATGGAGAGATAAAAGCTTTTGGTGGCTCAACACTTGGTAGCAGACATCAAAGAATCTGACCGAATAGAGAAATCTGTAGGTGACTAATGCTCAGTAGTGACTAATTAGTTGGAGATTGACGATATGTTATTCATATTCCTAGTGTATAAATTAGGGTTTTGATCATAGTAAGATATAGCAGAATGTTTTTGAATTACTTTAAAAAGTCTGTTTGATTAATTTTTAGATTTTTTTTCCTTTCAATTTAGCTGAATTAAATTTTCTTCTATCTTTTAGATTGATTCAAAAATAGAAAGCTCTTTATGTTTTAATCACTATAGGCTATGTAGCCTATCATTTCCGTTCGAAATTGTCAGTACTGAAATAGACAGCTGCCTTTCAGAAAAAACTGCAAAACAGGTGGCATTAATTCAATTGTTGTACTCCTTCAGTTAACTTTTCTTCATCTATAATAATATTCTGAATATAGTTAAAATGTATTTTGCTTCCGAATTTATCTTATACAGCAATATAAAATATAGCCTATATGTAATCTATTTCTAGGTTTGAGATAAATTCTCGAGCAAAATATTTTAAGTTATTTACTCACAAATTAGATACAAAATTGAGTTTACCAAGTTTCTGTTGGAATTTTGTCACGAGTATTTTCTCTCGATTTAGTCGCAATTAAATTTTCTGGCATCTTCGAGATATTCGATCTTGGAAGTTATTTTTTATGACTTTTTAATCCGTGTATATTTATCATTCCCGAATATAACTATCTTTACCACAATTTAATAGTATTATTTTTGCTTTTTAATAGTCTTGTTTTACGTAAAATTAAAGCCCTTTGCTTTAAAATGCATATGATAATATTATATATACACTTCAAATTTCATTCAATTTAATTCGATCACTAGCATCGAATGATATTGTAAATTTGAGAATTCATATCCTGAAGTTACATTTATGCAATCCAAGATTAAATTACAAAATTGTGAGAACAATTGTTTAGGTAATGATACATAGAAACCAGATTTATTATCTTTGGACATAATGAAGATTCATAACTCATTTAATGTTCTGTTTCCATATAGACTATACGAAAAATTGTTAGAAAGTAACCATTAATATTAAATTCCTTCCTTTCTTTATCCCCGCGAAATCGGAATATGTAATTATAGTTATTAGTGCAGAAAAGTCAGATTATAGATAATTATTAAACGATGTCATTTATGTTTTTTCCTATGATGGATAACTGAAGTATACATAGACGCTAGAATGAAAAGTCAAATAAGAATGATTCCTTTCAGGAATTGTTCATCTCTTAACTAGTTGTTAAACTCATCGACTTTTTATAGCATTTCGGAAAGAAGTAAAATATCGTGAAATTACCTAACTCAAAAGAATAATATTAGAACTTTTATTAAGTTTTATCTCGTTTCGAGTTGTAAAATGCGTTCCTTTGGCAGACATTCTAAACTAAACGCTACAAAAAATTGAAAAAAGAAGCAAAATAAGGGAAAGAAAAACAATAATTTACTAACATGAGAAACATTAAAAGAGTGAAAAATATTCTTGGGTCATACAGTAATTTGTCATATGTCAGGGTACACGAAAAATTCCGCAAAAATTCCCTCCCTCTTTCCGTTCTCAAACGTTATATTACTCGAACACGATTTTTCAACAAAAAAATTTCGTTACTGTTTTTTTTTTTTTTTGTCTCTTATTCAGGTAAGATAAACGATTGGATAGTTGGCTACAATCCAATACTTTCAATTTAATACATATTTTAAATTATTCTCTAATCCTTTTTTCTTCTATCTTGGATATAAAGGGGGGAAATAACAAAACTTATAAAAGAATTGCAATTTTTTAAAAAGTTGCGGTCATAAAAAGTGTTTTTATATAGAGTAATTACTTAAGTTATAACATCATTATTTTACTTGGATAAATTTTTTACGGCTCTAGTCAGAAAAGGAAACAGTGTGCGTATCGATCAGTAAATTCTTCCCCTGTCAAGTATATTAGAGCATTTTAATGGAAACATCATACCTTTTCATCTCATTAAACGTTTAATCAATCGACAACCGTTAAATATTAGTTAACGCTTTGGCTTTCTACCTATTTTGTGGCCCCTCGCATCAATTTTCTTCCCTCTCCATATCATGTATCACTTTATAAATAAAATAATTAACTACTTTAATAGATACCACTCCCGAAAACTTTCGTGATAGATCGCTAAGCGGATGAACTATTACTAGAAAAATCTCTCTTTATATACAGTGTATATCTAGTGAAGTGTACTTGTAGTTAATGTTAACGAAAGGCATGTAACGATATAAACATTAAAGAATCCATAAAAAGAAGTTTTATCCATCATTCTCTTATATACCGCAATATTAACTTTATAAACTAATGATAATAAGTCCATTATGGCTTATAATAAACTCGGGTTACGGGCTCGAGTGATACATAAAAATTTTTACCGCATAACAGATAGTAGATAAGATAATTTTTGTGCCTTGTAAAATAACTTTAGATACGCAAAAAAAATACTGTATATGTATTTTCTATTCTAAAACAAAAGTTGAACGAGCTTTCCAGTGCTTATTTTTTTATTTAAATTGATGTTATCGCTTTTGTTTAATGTCTTGATAGAATCTAATTGGTAAATCTCCTTATCTAAAGATGATTTAATTCAATATTGAATGAGTAGATACTGTAATACAATCGTGTTAAATCTATACTACCGAACGTTGGTCAATACTGATTAAATGTACTAAAGGATCTTTCGACAATACCAAAACGTAACCGATGTTCGAGTCTGGAAAGTCACAATTATGTGACTAAATTTTATGAATTATCAACATATTGATAGTTTAGAGTACTTAATTTTAATATTTGATGTTAGTTTTGTTTCCTTTTTCTAATTTTTATATTTTATTCAAATTCCTTATTTACAGGATATTATTCAAATAATAAAATTAAATGATTAAATTGGTATTTATTAATATAAACTCTGAAATGTATATTTCTTTTTTTATATAGGTGTGGATTTCAGAATGAAGATTATTCATATAATTACCAATTTCATCAAAAATTAAAATCTGATTTTGAAAACACCTTTTGACAGAGTTATATCCAGTCCTTAAATAGTCTGGATATAACTCTTTTTGGATAAAAAAATTAATTAAAATTGTATAGAGTTAAGTATAAAAAACGTAACTATTAAAATTTTCATATATTAGCCTTTTTTACAATATTAGAAATATTAAAAAGTTGGAACTATAAAAATTATGATTAAAATGTAGGAAAGTGTAAGATTTGGTTGATATTTTAGGAAACCGAAGTAATCTCGTAAAATATCATCAAAATATTATCTTAATTACAACTAATTAAGAAAATGTTTGCCTATATTAAGCTAATAATCATAAGATAAAAGCACATTATTTATTGCAGTTATTTGCTTTTATTGATGCGCCTTATTCATAAACTATTAAATTTTGTTTAAGAATAACGATTTTAAAATTGAAATTTGACCCATAGGCTATATACCTTTTATAACGTTAAAACTTCCCTCCCCTATTTTCTGAATTTTTCTTCTATTTTGTCGTGGGTTTTTTCTATCTTTTCTTTATCCCCTGTTCCATTCTCTATCCTTCCTTTGATTTTCCGTGTTCAGTATCCATTTATTATTTTCTCTCCCATTCTCTTTATCCCACATTACTTTTCCAACTTCGAGTTTTTCTCTATTTTTCACCTAAATGATTCAAGTTAATCCTATAATAAAAAAAAAAAAATATGGCGGAAACGTACAGACATACAAACACACATACGCACACACATATATAACACGAAACCTATAAACACTACAGTAACTTCCAACTTTAATAAACTGTCCGTTGGATCAATTTATCAGTCAAGTACTTCATATAAGTAATGGTTTCTAAAATCTAGAAAAATAAACTAAAAAATAAAAGAAATTAGGATGATTGGTGAGCATACTAATAACTCAGAAGTTAATTAGTCACGTAAATTAAACAAGTCAGAAAAATGTTCAATATTTAGGACAAAACCTAAAAGACATCAATAATACGTAAGGGTTAATTAATTCGTTAAAATTTATCTTGTTTTTAAAAGTCTGTTATGCTTCTACTGTCTCGAAAGCCGATATTTCATCATCTTCATAACTTCGAGGCATATTTATGAGGAAAATCTTATGTAAATCGAGCTCAAAATAGCAAAAGAAAGAGCTAGTGTACGGTATCTACTGCTAAAAATATTTCTGAGAAAAAGGCAAATAAATTTATATGAAAAATTCTTTTCTGGGAACATGTTATATTGTGAATTATCAGATAATAATCCTTCAGGAGAATATGAGTTAAATAAAATTTAAAAAATAATTATCGCCATGAAAACTATTAAGAAATAGATATAAATAAAAGTAAAAGTAACTTTTATTTTTAAAAAAAAGCTTGTTAGGCTTATAGTAAATCAAAGTAGCAAAATATAGAAAAAAAAGTAAACTCAGTTTTCATACAAAGTAATAAAGTATATGCCTTTAAGTAAAATAAATATAATACAAACTATTCGAGAATAAAAATAGAAAAAAGTAGTTACGTACAAAAAGTTAGAACAATATGTTAAATAAAAATAAAATAACTATTGTATAAATTATTGAAAATGTAGGCTAAAGAAAAGAATAAAAGTAATTATTATATTAGTTATTTAGGGAAACGTGATGAGTAGGGGAAAAAAGCAGCTTATTACACAAATTATTGAATGATACGCGTTCTAAAAAAGAAAAAAAAAGCATAGGGAAAAAAACGAAAACAGAAACGTGTTAGAGCCTTTTTTATGTATTAAATAACTTAGTTAATTTATTAAATTAGTTCTAATCCATCTTTTTTTATTATAATTTTTTGTACTTCTGATATTAAATTCATATCAAATGCGAAGATTTGTTTTTTATATCAATGCAATGAAGGGAAATAGGAAATGGAAAATCATTCAGTAACCAAAGAAGAATGTAAAACTAGTTTACTTTTTCTATTTAATATTTGAGCCAGAAAATGATGTATATATATTTTTTTTCTTTTTTCCCCCTCTTTTTTGGATATAAAGTAACCAAAATATATAAAACAAAAAATAAATAGATATGTATGAATCAAATCCTTACGCAGCAACTTTATGATATAAAAAACTATATTTGATTCCTAGTGTAACCTAACAAAATTTATTTCTATTTATAACACGAATCTATCCTTGAAACATTAGACTCACGAGGTGCTGTCGGAAGAAGGGAGGAGGAAAATAGAAAACAGCATCAATCTAAAATTGAATGAGCATAATTTAGAAAAACAAAATCGATGACGCTGTTTTCTGGGTAAAGTTACATATATAAAATTTTCAAAAATCAAAATTTGAAAATCTATAAAAAAAAAATAAAATAAAGAGATTTTTTTATATGTAGTTTTATTTACCGAAAAGAAAATTAATTAAAACGTTTTCAGGCTTCATTGAACAAATTATCTACTAAGCACGTATTAAATAACCACAGAGTAATTGCTGACTTATCGTTAAAATTGGTCAATTTTATTTATTTAATTTTTTTTTAAGTTTCATTGATTAATTTTAAAAGAAGAGTTGCAGCAAATTTCATTAAAATTATTGAAGTGTAGTTATTTAACGTATGTCCTCTGATAATTTATATAGCAGCTTTAAAATTTTAATTTTAAAGACTTTCGACTAAACTGAGTAAGCTATCTATGTAACGTCAATCTAAATTTGAATGAGCGTAATTTATAAAAGCTACATCGATTACGCTGTTTACTATATATAAATTTCGTAAAATTAAAATTTGATACTTTGGTAATATTATTAATTAATAAAGAGAGATTTAAAATTTCTATAAATATATCTTTACACGCTTTTAACAATTTTAAATGTTAAGTCATCGTCGAATTAATTAACTAGTACGCATTTTCTGGTTGCTTATCATAATTTTAAGCTTGTTATCAATGTATCATTAATTTTAAATTAATGGAGCAAAACTTAGGGGGAAAAAATAGTAATTGTTTTTGGATAAAGTGATATGTAAATTTCTCAAGATTAAAATTTACTATAGAGAAAATATAAAGCCCGATATAGAATTGTAAGCCTATCTTTGACGAATTTTAATGATAAATGTAGCTATAACGCACCTTTAAAATGTTTTTCTCTTAGACACAATAGCTGTATTATGTTAATTTTAAAATTGTTTGATTATATCAAACGCATTATATACGCATTATCAATTTAAAATACTCGTAGGATGGGCGATGGGCATTGTTTATAAATAAAATCGATTTTATTTACTCGATAAGATTATGTATCAATTTTGTAAAATCAAAATTTGATACATTAAAATATTGTAAAAAAATAATTGCTGTTTCTCCTAGGTAAAAGTAATTAAGTCTACTTTGGCAGATTTTAATGGAGAAGTTACGCTAGATTAAAGTTGTTTGGCACGTGTTCTCTAAGCGATAGCTGTAATATTTTAATTTTGAAGATTTTCGGCTATGTCGAGCACGTCATCTATTCTTGTCGTAGAAGTAAAACAATACAGAAATGTGATAGATATATAGTTTTTGAATAATCAATTGTTGGAGATATTCTTTGTTAATTCTGCTGGTCTGGACTTCATTGAAAGAAAAATAACCAAATCATTAAAATAAAACTATGGTTTATTAATTGTAAATATATTCGTTAAATTGATAAAATGTTATGCGTTTTAATGCCGCAAAAATATAGAACAATCGAAAAATCGATAAATTATTTAAATTTATCCGCTACAATTTTTCGAAAAATATGTAAGAACGTAACAACTGCTAAATCTTTAAAATATTTATTAGTTTAGTTTTATTCTGTTAGATAAGAATTATCCTACTAATAAACAAAACTACAGTAATCGTTTTCATATTAGCATGCACCTCACTAACATTCACATTAACTATGTACAATCGTGAGATAAGCACTAACTCGTATTTTAATGACAGAACACCACTAAGAATCATGCTCTTTACTATATTTTATGTGATATTGATTACTAAAAGAGCATAATTAAGATGTCAAAGCACTGGGGAATATAAAACTGTCTAAACAAATATGTTACTTCTATTTTCCTTGTTTGAAAACATTACATGATGCTACTAATAAACAGTCGTACCTGTTGTTCATATCAATAATTCACAAACAAAAACAGAACACGTCTTTTATCTGCGAGAGAAAACTGAATAATTGCATTATTAGTTATAATTGTTAAATTAGGCCTAAAATTCAATAAGATTAAAATTTTCTAAATAAATTATATTGAAGAAATAAAAACAAACGATTTTTTAATATTAATTCTTTAAATTTACAGTTATAAACTGAGTAAATTGAGAATTTTTCTAACTTAAAAATAATCAGATGGGTATATATTAAATATATTACTCTAAATTGTTAATTAAAATTATAATTTACTTTAAAATATTTTGAAAACTTATTTATTTTTGTTTAAAAAAACTATTATCTAAAAAAGAATAAGAATAAACAAAATATTTTATCCATATTACCTTCAAACAAATAAACAGATATATGAGTTGATTAATAATGATATTATATAAATAATGAGGATAAATATTAAATATCTGAGAGATAATACTTCATTTTAAATCTCTTTATTTAGTAATTTTAAAAACGAAGAACCACATTATTTTATATTTTAAGAGATTTGAGTACCTTCAGAAATTAATACCTTTAAAAAAATGGATTAATACTTCAAAATACTTAAAATAATTAATTAAATAAAAAGCAGATTAATGGGAGAATAAATAAAGCACCTAAAAATTAAAATATGTTATATTATTAGTATATTAAAAATAATAAAGTCCAACATCTTATTGTCAACTCAACGTTTTTATTAGAGACAGTATAAATGCACTATAATCTTTAATATACAAAAATTGTATCGAGAAGTCATTGTTATAAAATGCTTAGATATAAGATAAATCCGAAACAACAAGATTTTATTTATTTTTTCTTCATATATGTTATTCTTGTTTTTCGTATTCTTTGTCCATTTAAAAGTCATAGTCTGGATTGTATGAAAGCACGAGGTTATTTTATTACAGATATACAATAGTATAATACAAATAAAACGCAAATTAAATGTATGATAATTGAAAAACTATCATGTATATTTAAGAAATATACAAATGAGTCATTTTATCAATATTTACAAGCGTATAGACTATACAAAATTATTTTGAAAATAAGTTAATTGATTAACGTGGGTAATAGGTCATTCACTCTTCAAGAATTTCAATCTAACTTCTGGAGAGTTCGGGATGTTGTTATCATGAATGCTATGTATTCTTAGAACAACTTGTAAATGCTCTATTGTGTGTAGATTAAGGAAAGTTGTCTGAATATTTTATTTGTTGAATTTTTTCACCTTTAAAATATTATTGCACAACATACACCCTAGGTGAACTCGCATTATCATTCATAAAAATATAACTTTCATATAACTTTCATTTCAACAAAAAGCATACATAATTTTTTAATATATCTCATGAATATCCGCTTAACAGAGATCCAGTTTCGAAAATGTGAAAATGTGTTAAAAAGTCCATTAAACAATCGTTTCTCTAGTGGTTTCCTTCACTGATGTTAGAGGAGATTCCTAACTCATCTGAAAAGAGAACTTTGTCCGCTGATTATGGGTTCAAATACTATAGTGACAATTCCAATTTAAAGGATTTCTCTGTGAAAAGACGTCGATAGGATCTATGTACACCATATGATATCGTGTACAGAGATTTTTCTAATAAATTCCTCGAAACATAATTAATATTGAAACAATATATTTTTTACTGTACAGTACTGTACATGCTGCGAACTCCAAAGAAATTTATTGTTGCGCTGATACTTTTCTACGATCTAACAGAGCTTTTTTATTTTTGATTCTTTCCATCCTCTGGGCCCTAAGAAGGCCTTTTTACATTCCCATCGTGGGTTTGGCCATGTTCATAATGAATTCAGATGCTGTTGAGGGACGAGGCCTGACATATCTGTAACAGACAGCCCATGAAAACTCCTGGGATTGATTTTATCCCCAATTCCGTAGAATGGTAGACTTATCCTTAAATTTTTGTCCATCCAACCATAACAGAGCTAGATAATAAATTTGTAAGTGTTATAATCTTTTGGGCTTCTCGAATTTGTCTATAGAGCATCTTTTCTGAATCTTAAAATTTTCTCTGTAATCTGGAAATGATGTTAATGAGTATATTCTTCTTTTTGGATATCTCAACTTGTGTCGAATTTGCCTTCCTCTTGTTAATTGCTCGTAGTCTTATTGAAAAACTAATATGATGTCATCAAGCAATTTATAAACTTTTTCAATCAAAATAATGAAAAAGAAACTATTCTAATGCAAGTATGATTTATTAAGGAGAAAAATTTTATTCTCTGGGATATTTACTCGATTTTAACATTTAAATATTATGCATTAACATTATAATCTCCGAATTTTGTAAAAAATTAAAAAAAATACATTTGTTTCTTAACTTTTGATGAGCAATACAGTTTTAAAGAAGTTCGTTCAGATATATGCATTGAAATAAAAAAATCAATCTATCATTGATTTTTTATTTCAGATGGGTAAAGAGATTCCAGTCCCAATCGTCCTTTCTGCTATTGATATTATTCCCAGAATTCTATATCAAAGTATGCAGATGCTAGATTTACTGAAAAAATGTCTACATCTAAGTATGGAAGATTACAATTTTAAATATATAAAACACAGTAAGTTTTTAAATTTAAATGTAATAATACATAAGATTTTTATCCTGAAAAATACATGTATGATAATTGTACATTTTTTTCATATAATTGCTTATTCCAAGATTAACCAATAACTACGATAAAGCTTTACAGTATAATAATTAGAAGAATTTAATTAAATAATGAAGAGATGTAAATTTAATGATAAGCTTCATTAAACTTAATTTGTTTTACTTTTTAATTTTTAATTATTTTTATATTCTTTCAAACGAAATTTACTTTTAAAATTATAATACAGTACAATTTTTGTTGTAGTTTTGACGAGAGGGCTTTTCTAAATAGTAATAAACATTTGAATTTAAATATACAGTATATATATATATATTTATTTATATTATAAAATATTTATTAAAATATT